ACTGCCCTGAGTATTTCCTTGGCTTCACTTTTGCTTTCTTTCCTCTTCCTGCTACAAATTTCTTCCTATTGACCAGCCTTGTTCCCTCCCCTGCACACAGCCCATCCCTGTTTGCCCTTTCCTCTCTGGCCCCACTCCCCATTGCAGTTCCTGACTTGGCACCATGGGAACGGCCCTTGGGGAGCAGGATCATCCCTCAAGTGCTGCAGGAATTGTCTGCAGGCTCCTGCAGTGCCTGGTGCTGCTCCCTTGCCAGAGGCACCCCAGGCCAGGGGGGCACATCTGGGCTGCTGTGTCTGGCTGTGGGGCTCCCTGTTCTGGGCAGTGAGGAGGAGCTGCAGAGGCTCTGCAGGACTGACAGGATGGGCTTTGGGGCTGTGAGGAGAAGCTGAGGGACCTGGGCTGCTGGAGCTTCTGAAGAGGAGGCCCAGGGCTCCTCCTGCAACTGCTCCAAGGGTGGTTTCAGAGAATCCCAGAATCAGCAAGGTTGGAGAAGACCTTGGAGATCATCAAGTCCAACCTGTGCCCTGACACTGCCTTGTCTCCCCTGAGCCTCCTCTTCTCCAGGATCAACAACCCCAGCTCCTTCAGCCGCTCCTCACAGGATTTGTGCTCCAGACCCCTCCCCAGCCTTTTTGCCCTTCTCTGGACATGCTCCAGCCCCTCCATGGTCTTCTTAAATTGAGGGGCTCTGAATTGGACACAGCACTTGAGGTGCTGCACAACCAGTGCTAAGCACAGGGGAAGAATCACTGCCCTGGTCCTGCTGGCCACACCATTCCTGATCCATAGGAATGCCAGGGCTTGGATTAGGGGAATTGTGGGGAAGAAGTGGGGACAAAGTGTTATTGATTGTCAGCCATGAAGGGTGTTGATTTTCATGTCTGTTCAGACTGCATTAGAAGGTGCTGGGGGTCAATAGCAATTGGACGTCACTGATACCAATCTGTAAACAGAAAAAGAAAACTGGATACAACAGTTTTGTCTGCATTAGTGTATTCAGTTTAATATAGTGTATTCCGTTTAAATACACTTCTGAAATCTGTCTAATTAACCACAGAAGAACTGAACACTTAAATTATTCCGAGGAGCTTTTCTTGTTCTGGCATTTTAAACAAATGTTTGTGAGGTTTTCTCACTGAATTCCTGAAGTGAAGAGCTCAAGAAAGAAGAGGCCTCTGGAGTAGGAAAATTCATCAGCAACCCCCAAGTGGGTGAGGATCCATCCCCATCAGAGCAGCAATGAGCAGAAATGGGCACAGCTTTGTGGCTGCCCCAGCTCTGGGATGGGCCCTGGGCCTGGAGCAGGAGCAGCTCTGCAGGGCCCCAGGGCCGGGGCTCTTGTGCTGGCCTGGGCAGATGGGATGGCAGGAGGGGCTGCAGAGCTCTCAGCACCTCAGCCAGAGGGGAGCAGGGCAGCCAGGGAGCTCCTTTGGCCTTGGCCAAGCCCCTTCCCCCATGGTGGGGCTGAGTCCTGGCTGAGCTGCAGCTGCTGCTGTGCCCTTGGCAGGGGCTGAGGCCATGGGGCAGTGCCCAGAGCAGCCTGGCCTGAGCAGAGCTGTGGGGCCAGAGCCGGCTGGGCTGTGCTGGGGAGAGGCCCTTGGTGCTGCCCAGAGCTCAGGGCAGCTGGCAGAGCTTGCAGGGAGCTGGGCTGGGCTGGGAGAGCCTGGCACAGAAACCATCAGTGTCCATCTCAGCCTGGCTGAGCGGGCAGGGACCAGGAAGAGCATCCAAGGTCCACAAGTTCTCTGTGTGGGAGCTGAGCTTGTGACCCCCTGAGCCCTCCCAAGTGCTGGGGCTGCACCTCCAGCTCCAGAGGAGATGTGACAGATGGGAGCAGAGACAAATAATTCCTGCTGGACTCTTTCTTGGGTTTGCTGACACAGGTGACCTGGATCCATATGTAGATGAGGTGTTTTGTGTCAGATAACACTGGGAGAGTGATAAGAATAATATTTTTTAGCTGAAAATTGTATTTCATGCTGGATGCACAATGAGGGAAAAAAAATACACATATGATCAGAAGAGCATCTGACGTTTTCAGAGGATGAGGGACTCATTGATGTTCCAGCTGCCAAACCCGCTCAAATACTTTCCTCAGGGCTTCCTTGAGATGAGAGGTGACCACCAGAGGCCAAGGCCAGCCAGAGCTGTCTGTCCTGGCAGATTTTGGGTGGGATTACCCTTGCATATAGGGAATTTTTCAGGGGGAGTATAAATTTTGGCTGTGGACACCTGGAAAAATGGATGGTTCTTTTCCATAAGAAGGAAAGCACAGAGCCTCACTTCTCCAGGGGCTGATGAGAGGCAGCCCTCAATGTTCCACGATCAGCCAGACCTGTCAGGTGGCCCCTGTGTCATGGTTTGACACTGGCACAATGCCAGTGCCCCCATGAAAATGCAACCCCACAAATGATTGCTGTGAAATGCAATCAGGAACAGAGCAGAGTAGGCCCAAGCTCAATAACAAAGGAGAAACTTTATTAAACTACTACTACTATAAAATGAAAACGCAAGAAAAAAAAAATTAAATCCAAAATTAAAACCTTCCAAAACACTCCTTCTCACTCCCCCCAGTTCCAGCAAACCACAGTGAGACACAACTTGGACTCCCAATCAGGTTCCCACCCTTCAGAGGATCAATACTCTGTCCATCGAGGGAGAGAGGAGTCTCTCCTGTGCCATAGACCCCCAGGAAACACAGCTGCCACCTCTTGTGTTTTCATGTCACACATGGCACCGCCTGGAGAGAATCTGCCAGTGTGACACTCTCCTTGCCATGTCACAGTGCTCTCACCACCATGCATGGACAGACTGCTCCATGGACAGACTGCTCTTAGGATTTTTCTTTTCAAGGATGCTCTGCCAAGAGGGAAAAAAAAAAAAAACAACAGTTCAGTTTTTCATTTTTGGGGCCGCAGTCCCTCCCCATTTCCGCCTGGGGCCGAGGATCCAAGAACAGAGATCTTCTCTTCTTCTTCTCTGAAGACAGGGGGCATCACCACAACCCTCCTCAACTCTTCTCTATTCACTCCACTCCTGTCTTTTTCTCAGCTGCTGAAACAGGTCTCTTGCCTCACCATGCATCCTCCTAAAATACAGTCTCTCTCTCGGAGGAGAAAATTGGTTCAGTCTATGGCTAACAAGAGAAAGTCTAGCCAAAAACCCCTCCATCATCTCCTCCCACCTAGAATTTCTCCTTCTTACATCTCAGGCCCCAGACTGTCTCTTTTCTTCTCTTTCAAATCGAGGAGGAATAATATTTGACAAAGCTTTCATCATCCAAGAAGGGGTTAAAAGTCCAAATTCCCTGGCCAGCTGGCCAGGCTCTCTGCCCAGACCTCCAGCTCCCACGCTGGGCACCTCCCGCTCCCCGCTCCCGCTCTTGCTGTCTCTTTCTCTCTCTCCACAGAGACCCTGGTGGGGGGGACGCAGACATCCCAGATTTTCCTCCACCCTTCATCTGCAGGGAGCCAGCCCGGTTCCAGCCCCTGCACCCTTCGGCCTTACCTCAGTCAGGCCGTGGGGCTTCCCCTGCCCCAGCCAGCCACGGGCCGGGCAGGGGAGAGGCTGCACTGCACCCTGACCAGAACCAAAGAGAGCGAGTTCTCCTGGGAATTCTGCTTTTAACCCCTCTGTGATCTCAGAGGCGTGTCCAGCCTCAATTGGTCACCCCAAGTGCCAATGTCCAACCCCAATCACTGACTGGCTTGACCCTCTTCCTTCTGTGTTAAACCACAACACACTCCCAGGGTCTGGAATTCCAGTTCCTGGCCAGGAAAAAATGTTCCTGACTTTGAATTTCCTTCCTATCCTCTCAACAAATTATAATAAAATTATAAATCAATAAATTATAATTAAAATTAAATATAAAATAATTGAAATATAAGTATTTCAACTCTTACTTACAATACTCCAATAATGATTTAACCCAAAACAACAATAACTATTAATGTAACATTACCAATAAATATAAATAAATAAATTATATACCAAGAAATACCTTTTGAAAGTTTTAACTCATTATCTAATAGACTTCAGATAAAAAATATCGAAAAAAACTAAGATACAATCTAACACACCTTAGTAAAACAATTCCTATCACAAATTTACTAAACACAAAAAAACCACACCACTATAATTTGTCATACATTTTAAGCAAATAATTAAACTTTATTAACATCCTTAAGTATGCTAAAAAAATTAAATTATTTTTGAAGAACTTAATTGCAGATGGGTGGTTTTATTTGGATATTAGTTTTTGGATTGTTTGGGTTAGATGATTTTAAAAAAGGGATTTTTATAGGAATTTAATCAGCTGAGAAGGAGCCACTCTGCAAACACAATTGACTGAAAATGAATGGGACAGAAATCAGTAACTCTGAACGTTTTATTTGCTATCAAATACATCCCAGCCACCCAGCCCCACACAATCCCCATCCCACTGCTCCAAACTGGGATCCCACTTCTCCCAATCTCCTCCCAACCCCATCTCACCCTGGCAGCTGTGGAATTGAGTGAGCTTTGTGTGGGATTGAATTTTTTTGAGGTGGGAACAGGCAATTTGAGGTGGGATTGTGCCTTCATAGGTTAAAATTCCGTTGTTTTCAGTGGGATTGAGTGGTTTTGTGGTGACAGATCCATCCCTCTTGGCTTTTGAAATGCAAAGAGATGGAGAACACTGCCCAAAATCACCCCAGAACCCACAAATCCTCCAGAAGTTGAGTTCACGGTGTTCAGGGAGGGTGCAGCTGCCAGCGGCAGGAACAAATGAGACGGGTCTTGGTTTAACAAAGCTCCAAAATCCATTTCTTACCCCTGAAAGACAGAGCAAAGGCAGGGCTGTGGGGTTTGTATAGGGTATCCCAGGGGTGGAGTTAAGGTTTGGGTCAAGGGAGGAATTATTGGCAACTAAAAAGGGTGAGATCAAATTCCTGCCTCTTAGCAACAGGGGAAATCAACCCAGATCCTAAATTACCCCTCAAACGCCTGTGAAATGGTGGCATTTCAGATATTTTTGATCAATTTCTTTAATTTAACCCTGTTTTGGCTGTGTTTAAAGAATAAAGATGAATCAGAGGAAAATTAGGACCAAAGCAAAAGGAGAAGCAGCCAGGTGTGTTCCCAACATGGATCACAGGGAATGTGGGTCACCAGGGCTGTGCCCAATGTGGGTTCTCCAGTGGGAGATGGAGCTGGAGCAGAGCATGAAGCTCTTCCCACACTCGGGGAAATCCCAGGGTTTCACTCACCGGTGCCTCCGTTGGTGTTTGGTCAAGTCAGAGCTCTGGGTGAAGCTCTTCCCACACTGGGGACACTCGTAGGGCCTCTCCCCGGTGTGGATGCGCCGGTGCCTGACAAGGGTGAAGTTGTGCTTGAAGCCCTTCCCGCAGTCGGGGCAGCGGAAGGGCCTCTCATCCGTGTGAATCCGCTGGTGTTTGAGGAGATCAGAGCTGGTGTGAAACCTCTTCTGACACTCGGGACACTCGTAGGGCCTCTCCCCAGTGTGGATGCGTTGGTGGATGATGAGTTCTGAGCTCCAGCCGAAGCCCTTCCCACACTCCCCACACTCGTAGGCCCATTCCCCGGTGTGGATCATCTGGTGGCGGATCAGGTTGTTGCTCTTCCTGAAGCTCTTCCCACACTCCAAGCACTTGTAGGGCTTCTCCCCATCGTGAAGCTTCTCATGGACCACCACCTCCAAGCTCTGGCTGAAGCTCTGCCCACCTTCCTGACCCAGAGTGGGCCTTTCCTCCTCAGAGCACCCTGGGCTGGGTTTCCAGCCCCTCCTCCTGTGGGATCTCCGGGGCTTTTCCTCCCTGTTGGATTCCTGTGCTGTGGAGTTGCTCAAATCGGCCTCTTCCATGAGGTTGTGCTGCAGGGATTTGTCCTTCCTGGTCTCCATCATCAGCTCCTGCTCTGGGGTAGGAAGGACAAGGAGAGGATGGGATTTGCCTCCGTGCCACAAGGAAGGGTAAGGAGATCCCCCCAGTGCATCCCCGTCAGCAGAGCGTCGGCAGCGGGGCTGTCCTGCAGCCGGGGGCCAGGCTGGGCCGGGAGATGGAACAGGAGAGAGGGGGAAAGGGGCACTGACTTCCTCCTCACCTGCCTCGGTGTCCCAGGGCGCCTTCCTCTTCCTCACAGCCTCCTCCTCCATTTCGTGAAGGTTTGGGTATGGGAAATTCTGTTTTGGGAGGAAAACAAGGGATGAGCACATTGAGTTTTGTACTGGTTTCAAAGCAAACCAGGGGGAGAATTTATGCCAGAATTACAATTGAAAAAGAAAATTAATATCAAGGCAATGATAGAGAAATCCTGGCTTAAACTCACAGAGTCAGGATATAACCTGACACCCCGTTGGTCAGGGTGGTGGTAGCAGTCTGATGAAATGGTGGCTGCAGTCCGGCTGGAGTGATGAACGTGATTCTGTCAAAGCGGTGATCCTGTAGAAGGGTCTGGTCTTCCTCTGAAGGTCCAGTGGTGGTTATGGAGCTCTTGTCCTCTGGGAATCCAGTAGGCAAGGTGGTCGTGGTGTTGCAAGGGTGAGATTATATCCAGGTAGGAATGCTTGGTTCCTCCCCCTGGGCGGAGCATCCCACAATGGGATGATGTAATTTTATCAGCCCTGCAGTGACACTCAATGGCCCATTAACAGAAGATGGCCCCTGGAGGGCGTTATCAGGGCTGAGCCATGGAAGAGATAAAGAACACTGCCCCACCTGTTGATAACAGTTTATGGAGATGGTGACTGAAAACACTTTTGGTTACATCTGACACTGTAACCTGAAACAGTGAGGCAATCCCTGCTCGGGGTGGGGGGTGAACACCACCCCCCTTACCCAAACTGGCTCAGGTGTAAAACCCCCACCCTGGGAAGGACACGCACACAGGGGACAATGTCACACTTGCCTCACCCCAGGGGAGATCTCTGTCCCTGTCACTCCCTTACTTTCTCTCAATTTTATCTTTCTTTCCATGTCTCTCTCTACCTCACATTTACTGTTCAATAAAATCCACCTTGGATTTGGTCTCATTAGCACCTTAAATGGGGCAGAGGCATCTCTCTAACAATTTTTTTAGCCAGATTGAGACATTATTTTGCACTGTGAGTTCAGGGCACTGCTGTCTGACCCCAAGTGCCTTTGACAACAGCCTGGTTCCCACCTCTGAGGAGCTTGTGGCTCTTTCTGGAGGAACTCTTGGAAACTTGGATGCAGCTTCCTCTGAGCAACTTTTGGGAGAACTTATGAGGAAAATGGCTGTTGTGGGTGGCCAGTGTAAAGAAAATATTTTCGTGTCCTTCCCTGAAAAGTTTGTTAAAATCACTGGAGGAAAGGGAACAAATGATACCAGCGAGACTGACAAGGATCATTCACCACACAGTGAGGAACACAAGGCTACTTAAATCCTACAGGAAGCCCAGCTCAAGTAGCTAAATTCCGAAGTAACTCCTGAATTCACAGGCTTGGGGGCTTTTCCAAATATGAGAATCATTATTTTCTTGGTCCCTGTCACCTTTGTGACAGCTACACAGACCTTTCCCTTCCTTTTAATAATCTGTATTGGGCCAAATTTCCACATTTCTTTTTTTGGAACCTGCCAGCATCTGAGTTGGAGCTGTGCTGGAACTGATGAAATTTGGAATTGCCACAGAATTGCTTCTGTTGTTGGTTTATTAATGTTTGGGATTTGTTTGTGTTTCCATCACAAGTGACTTGTGGGAAGAGCAAATCTTCCTCAAGGCATTTTATGTAGGGTTAAGTTTGATTTCTGCTGAGTTTGTTTTGTCCAGTGCCCAGGGGATGCTCAGGGGTGTCTGGTTTTGTTTGGCCCTAATTTTCTTCTGATTTGTCTTTATCACTTAAAAACACCTGAAAAATGACTAAAAAGAGTATGGACCAGAGATGTCAAAAGTCCCTCCATCTAAGAGTTATTTGAGGAGGAATTTACGGTTTGGGAACATATTCTGGGGGATTTGTGGGTTCTTCGGGGATATATGGGAGTATTCTCCATATCTTTGCACTCCAAAAGCCAAGGTGGATTGCTCTGTCACCTCAAAATTACTCAATCCCACCTCAAAATGGCTGGTTCCCACCTCAGTCCCATGCCAAAATTACTCAATTCCTCAGCCTCCAGGTATAGATGGGGTTGGAAGGAGATTGAGAGAAGTAAGATCCAAATTTGAGGTTTTGGGATCAGGATTGTATGGGGCTGGGTGGGTGTGATTTATTTTGATAATAAATAAAACTATCAGAATTATTGATTTCTGTCCCATTCATTTTCTGTCAGTTCTGGTTTGCTTTTCAGAGTGCTGCCTTCTCAGCTGATTTTGTTTGTGATCTCCTGCCCCAGACTGAAAAGCAAGATGTGTTCTATTTCCCATCTGTATGGCAGTTGTCCTGTGTTAAGTGGGCAGTTTTTCCTTATCTCTTCCACAATCAATCCTCCCTCAGGGCAGACATCTGCTGATAATGGGCTATTGAATGTCACTGCATGACTGATAAGAACTATAATGTTGGGTGAGAGTGTCGCGGGAAACAAGTTTCATGCTGTCATGATCAACAAGTCTCAGTTTATTGGAGTCGATTACAGTTTCTTTATACAAGCACTAATTAGTTCATACATATTGCAAAAGCGAAGCTCAGGATTGGTTACCTTTCTATTAACACATATATCTCTTTGCGATAAGCCTTGCAGTTACTGCTTCTTTATACTTGATTACTTTTCTGCATACTAAGCAATTTTTCATCTTTAACGAGACACCTGTATGCTCAAGGTTGTTAGGAGAGATCTGTTTCTCAAGGTCATAGTTTTCATGCTACAAGTCACGTATTCTCACATTCTCATCAACTTAACCCTTTCATGTCCCTTGCTGCGCAGCCATTCTTCAGCTAAACTCTCGACACACAGTGTCACAGTGATTTCCATGAGAAGGAAAGAACCGAGCCCCAGTGTTTCAGGGGCAGCCACCAGAGGCCAAGGCCAGCCAGGCTTGATGGTACTGGCAGATTTTGTCTGGGAGCAACTGTTGGATATAGGGAATTTTAGAGGTGGAATCCCACTTTCAGACATGGACACCCGGAGTTGAATGATGTTTTTTTTTCCAAAGGAAGGAAAGCACAGAACACCGGTGTTTGAGGGGCAGATGAAAGGCTGCCGTCAGAGGTCTAGGCCAGCCAGACCTCTTTGCCCTGGTAGCTTTTGTCTGAAAGCAACCCTTGGATATAGGGAATTTGGGAGGTGGAACCCCAATTTTGGTCATTTCTGTGTAGATAAGAAGGAGAGTTCTTTTCCATAGGAAGGAAAGCACAGAGACCATGTGTTTCAAAGGCAGAAGAAAGAGGTGGCTCCTGGAAGGCTCAGCCAACCAGACCTGTTCTTCCTGGCATGTTTTGTAATGGAGGAATTTTTGGATACATGGAATTTGGGAGGAGGAATCTCAATTTTGACCACGGTCACCTTGAGAAGGACAACTATTTACATTGGAAGGAAATCACCAAGCCCCAGTGTTTCAAAAGCAGATGAGATGCATCTCTCAAGAGGCCAAGGGCAGCCAGACCTGTCTGTCCTGGCAGCGTTCACTTGGGAGCAATCCTTGGATGTACGGAGTTTTGGAGGAGGAATCCCAATTTTGGCCATGGAACCCTGGAGGAGAAGGACAGTTCTCTCCCATAGGAAGAAAAGCCCAGAGCCCCAGTGTTGGGAAGGGTAGATAAATATGATTAAGAACCACAATAGTACAGCCAGGACGAATATAACGCCCCCTACTGGCTGGACAATAACCCTCACCTACAGAGGGGTCCAAAAGCCAAATGGACTGTTCCATCTCACCCCCCAGAATGTATGGTTCACCCCCACCTGTAACCCTCCCCTGAACCATCAGGTGCCTGTGACCCCATTGGCCCAGGTCCTGTTCCAGCCCACCTTGGAGCCCCCCTGATAAAGGGTCTCCGGGGGGCTGGACGCTCTCTTGGATCTTCCCCTCTCCTCCTGGAGTGTCCTCCGGGAGTCCCTGCTCCCCTCTTTGTCTCTCCCCTCCCCCATCACCTCAGGCCCAGCCACGTGCTGTGTCTAGCAGCTCGAGGCAGGGCCTTTCTGCATCCTGAATAAACCTGATCCCCCAAGAGCAACCACAGAGATCTCGCTTGTATCTGTCCGTGGAATACAAATAAACGTCTTTACAGACTGGCGCCCAACATCGAATACGAACCCACGGTGACCTGCAACTGCACCCGTCTGGATGCCTTTCCAGCTTTTCTACCTGTAGGACACCTTTCCATGGACAGTAACTAAATAACCAGGTATTTCCTCCCCATCGCTGTCGCGAGCACGGCATTTTGCTGCTAGGCAGCTACGAAACCGGAGCTCTTTAAAAAGTCCCGAGGCCATCCTCCAGCACCGCAACTCGTTACCTAGTAGCGAGTTTTTGGATCCCTTCGAGGATTTCTGGCCGTTATTTCTCCGAGCACAAGAGATCGCCGTGATTCCGCGGCGACCCAAGGCTTTGTGAGGAGACTTGCCGTGGCACACTGCCACGTGCACAGAGCACAGGCGAGCACTGCTTTGCACTGCCCGCGCTGAAGCTCTGAAGGGGGTTTAGAGCTCCCGAGCACCATAAACCGTCCCGACCCCGGAGCTCTGAGGAGACCCCTGCGGAGAGTCCTCAGCACCGACTGCAGTGAACGTCGGAACCTGACAGAGGACCCCGCTCCTGCGACACCGAGGTGAGCCACACTGGTTTAAAAATGGGACAATCCCACTCTGCATCTGATCGAGATCTCTATAAGCAACTTAACCACCTTTTACGTAGCCATAATAGTAACTTGCCTAAAAAAGAGCTACGAAAACTCCTAGAATGGATCTTACTTAATTTCCCGAATGCCGAGCGCTCTGCTGTGTTTTGTGGAGACTTTTGGGAGTCCGTGGGACATACACTTTTTAATGATATTTCACGGCGGGACCCCTATGCTTGCGAATTACTCCCTGCTTATAGAGTGTTAGCAGAGCTCTGCGCTTCTCAAAAGCCGCTGATAGCAGCCAAACCGCTCCCTGCCGTGGCTCAACAATCCCCGCCGGGCCGCCCGTTCCCCCCGCGCTGCGGTGACAATGCCGGCGAAGCTGCTGGCGACGCGGCGGTTTCCGAGCGAGCAGCGCTCCCTGCCGCAGCCGCGCCCTCCCTCCCCCGCAACCCAGAACCCGCCCTTACGGCCACCTCCTCCCCCCCAAACCACTCCGTGGGCCCCGCCTCCCCCCCCCCGCCCCCCCCAGCATTGCCTGTCCCGGCTATGATGGCTACTATAGCCGAACTTTTACAAAATCTAACAACAGCCATTTTGCAAGCACAAACCCAGTCAATGGCTATTTTGCAAGCACAATCTCAAACGTCAGCTGCGATTTTGCAGGCGCTGCACACGCTCGCCTCCGCAGCCGCCCCCCTGACCCGCCCGGAAGCCCCCTGGCCCGGCGAACACGCCGACCAGGCACCGGCTCCGGGCCAGGCGGCCCCCACTCCTGCGGCCACGCCCTCCCTCCCGCGCAGCCCTGACCCCGCCCCCGCGGCCGCGGCCGCCGCACCGCCCGCGTTTTCCAGAGACGCCCCGGGAGCCGGCGCCGTACCCCCGCTGCCCACCCGCCTCCTGGACTCGCAGCCGGCCCCCCCGGCAGACACAAACCTGGCGTCCCCACCCCCCCACCCCCCTGCGGCGCCGCAGCCCCTGCCTCTGGCTGCAGAGCCCCTGAACCCCCCGCCACCGGCACCACTTCCTGGTTTGCCGAACCCGTCACCATATCCCTCCGCATCCCTCCCTCCGCCGGATCTACAGCCTGCCGCAGCACCCAAAGCCACAGCTACAGGATATCCTTCCGCAAATGCCGGCTCTTCACAAATGCCGCTGCCGACGAGCTCCACCCCTCCAACTCTTCTGCCTCAGCTGACATCAGCCCCTGCCTCCCACACTAGCAGCTCCTCACCGCAACCTGACGGAGACACCATGCAGCGAGAGGGTGAAGGAAACAATGTGACTGCAGCTTTGATAAATAAAGGACAGACAGAGAACTATGTTACCCCTGCAAACCCCAACCTTTCTATCCCAATCTCACCAAATTCTCAGCAAAGTGCTAACAATCTTCAACTGACAAACTGCCCTGAAATCAAATATGATAGCTGCAAAGACGACAGTCTGCATCCCCAAGCCATGCAAGTGGTATTCAGCCAGCGAACAGCTGTCCCCTCTCAGGAGGTGAAAGAAGTCCTAACAGTACTCAAGGACAGTGGTATCTCCTTTTCCTATTTTACACCACTGTTAAAAGGTACCATAGAAAAAACACGCCAAACCTTAAAACACATTTTAAATCTAAAGAAAGGGGGAGTAGATCAGGCTACACCTCAAAAGAGGTTGAATAAGGCTCTATATGCTCACAATTTTCTAAGTAGCTCTGCAGGAGAGCCTCGCCTCCAAATTTATAGACATTTCCTGAACAACAAAAAAGCAAAAATTAAGGAACACCCCCCAGTTTTAATAAAAAACTTAGACACAGGGCAAATAGAAGGTCCATACAACCTCATAACGTGGGGAAAAGGTTTTTCTTGTGTTTCCACAGGTGGACGACTCAAGTTGGTCCCAGGAAAGAATGTAAAGCCTTACCATGCACCGAAATCCGCTGGCACCCCCACACCAGACAGTACTTCTGCAAGTACAAGCCAAGAAGCCAGCACCCAGACCTGAACCACGCTGCGTCATCGAGAGAAAAATGGACTTTCTATCGTTTAATGCGTGCATATTGTTTTTGTTCTTCTGTTTCAGTTTTTATATTGA